ATCTTATTGATGAACACTTAGGTTGCTTCCATATCTTTGCTATTATAAGTAATGATGCAATAAACGTAGGGTGCATATATCTTTTTGAATTAGTGTTTTTGTTTTCTTTGTATCGTTACCCAGAATCTAGTTATTGCATCATATGATATTTGTATTTTTGATATTTTGAGGAACATCAATACTGTTTTGCATATTATCTGCCCCAGTTTACATTTCCACCAGTAGTTCATGGAGATTCCATTTTTCCACATCCTTGCCCATGCTTGTTATTTCTTGTCTTGTTGATGCTAGCCATTCTGACTGGTGTGAGGTGATATCTCATTGTTTTTGATTCTCATTTCCCTGATGATTAGTGATATTGAGCATCTTTTCACGTGTCTGTTGACTACCTGTATATCTTTGGGAAAATGTCTGTTCAGGTCCTTTCCCACTTTTAATTGGGTTTTTCAGGGTTTTTGGTGTTGAGTTGTTTGAGTTCTTTATGTATTTTGGGTATTAATCCATATTAGATACAGCATTTACAAATATATTCTCCCATTCATAAGGTTGCTGTTTTGTTGATGGTTTCCTTCACTGTGTGGAAGCTTTTTAGAGTGAATGTAATCCCACTTGATTATTTTTTATTTTATTTTTCTAGCCTCAGGAGATGTATTCAGAAAAACAATTGCTAAGGCCAGTGCCCAAAAGTTTATTGCTTATGTTTTCTCTTAGGAGTTTCATGGTTTCAAGTCTTGAAGGTCTTCAATCTATTTCAAGTTTTCTTTTGTGTATGCTGTACAAAAGTGATCATCTCATTTCATTCTTTTCCATGTAGCTGGCCAGTTTTCTCAGAACTATTTACTGAAGAGACTATTCTTTCCCTGTTGTGTATTCTTTCCTCCTTTGTCATTAATTGACTGTGGGTTTATTTCTGGGCTCTCTATGCTGTTCTTTTGATCCATGTGTCTATTGTTGTATCAGTACCAAACTATTTTGGTTACTCTATAGCTTTGTAGTATAGTTTAAAATCAGGGCATGTAATAACTCCAGCTTTTTTCTTCCTTCTCAAGATTACTTTAGTTATTTAGGGTCTTTTGTGATTCCATAGAAATTTCAGAGTTCTTTGTTCTAGTTCTGTAAAAAAAATGCTGTTGATATTGCTAAAGATTGCATTAAATCTGCAGAGCATTTGGGGCAATATGGCCATTTTTACAGTATTAATTCTTCCTATCCATGAGCATGGAATATCTTTACATTTATTTGAGTTATGTTCAAGTTCATTCATCGATGTCTTACTGTTTTCAGAGTACAGGTCTTTCACTTCTCTGGTATTTTATTCCTAGGTATTTTATTCTTTTTGATGTAGCCATAAATGGGATTTTCTTAATTTCTCTTTCTGGTAGTTCATTTTTAGTGTACAGAAATGCAACTTATTTCTGTATATTGATTTTGCATCCTGCAACTTTACTGAACTCATTTAGTTCTAATAGTTTTTTGGTGGCATCTTTAGGGTTTTTATATATAACATCATGTCATCTACAAATAGTGAAAGTTTTACTTCTTCCTTACCAATTTGCCTCTTATTTCTTTTTCTTATCTGACTACTGTGCACAGGACTTCCAACACTATGTTGAATAAAACTGATGAGAGTGGAAATCCTTCTTTTCTTCCTATTCTTAGGGGAAAAGCTTTCAGCTTTTACCACTGAGTATAATGTTAGCTATGGGTTCCCATAAATGGCCTTTACATTGAGGTATATTCCCTGTGTACCCACTCTGTTGCCAGTTTTATCATGAATGGATGTTGACTTTTGTCAGATGCTTTTTCTGCATATATGGATCATATGTCTTTCACCCTTTCGTTAATGTGGTATATCATATTGACTGATTGTGGATATTGAACTATCCTTGCATCCCTAGGAATAAACTTGGTTGTGGTGAATGATCCTTTTAATGTATTTATGAATTGGCTTGCCAATATTTTGTTGAGGATTTTTGCATCTATGTTCATCAGGAATTGCTATGTAATGTCCTTTTCTTGTAGTGTCTGTCTGATTTTCATATCAGGGTAATGCTGGCTTCATAGAATGAATTTGAAAGCATTCTTCCCTCTGAGTTTTTTGGAATAGTTTGAGAAGGATAGATATCAAGTCTTCTGTAAATGTTGGTAGAATTTACCTGTGAGGACATCTGGCCTTGGACATCTGTTTCTTAGGAGCTTTTTGAGTACTGACTCAATGTTGTTACCAATAATCAGTTTGTTCAGGTTTTCTATTTCTTCCTGGTTCAATCTTAGAAGATTGTATGTTTCTAGGAATTTATCCATGTTTCCTAGGCTGTTCAATTTGTTGACATATAATTTGTTGCAGTAATTTCTTAAAATCCTTTGCATTTCTATGGTGTTGTTTGTAACTTCTTGTTCTGATTTTGATTTTTTTTCTTTGGTGAAGTCTGGCTAAAGGTTTATCATTTTTCAAAGAAGTTTATCTTTTTGAAGACCCAACTTTTAGTTTCATCAATCTTTTGTATTTTTTTTTTTTTTGGTTTTTATTTCATTTATTTCCACTCTGATCTTTATTATTTCCTTCCTTCTTTTTACTAACTTTGGGCTTTGCTTGTTCTTTTTCTGGTTCCTTTGAGTGAAAGGTTAGATTGAGCTTTTTCTTTATAGAAATGCTTTCTTTTTAGAACTACTTTTTCAGTGTCTCAAAGGTTTTGAACTACTGTATTTCTATTTTCATTAGATTTCAGGTATTTTTTGAATTCCATTTTGATTTTTTCATTGACTCATTGGTGGTTTTGTAGTGTGTTGCTTAGCCTCCATGCATTTGTGGTTTTTCCAGTTTTTTTTCTTGTAAATGATTTCCAGTCTCATACTGTTGTAGTTGGAAAAGATGCTTGATATTATTTCCATCCTCTTAAATGTATTGAGCCTTGTTTTATGACCTAACATGTGACACATCCTGAAGAATGTGCCATGTGGACTTGAAAAGAATGTGTATTCTGCTGGTTTGGGATAGAACATTCTGTGTTTCTGTGTTTATCTAAGTCTGTCTGTCTTATGTGTCATTCAGAGTCATTGATTCCTTATTGGTTTTCTGTTTGGGTGAACTACTCATTGGTATAAGTGAGATGTTAAAGTTCCGTACTAGCATTGTTTTACTTTCAATTTCTCTTATGTCAATATTTTCTTTATTCATTTCTATGCTCCTGTGTTGGATACAAAGAAATTTACAATTGTTATACCCTCTTGGATTAATCCCTTTATCATTAAGTAATGCTGTTTGTTTTGTTACATTTTTTTTACAGTCTATTTTGTTTAAGTATTGCTACTCCAGTTTTTTTTTTTTAATTCCATTTGCAAAGAATATTTTTTTCATTGCTTTACTTTTACTCTGTGTCTTTAGGTCTGAATTGAGTCTCCTGTATACAGCATACATAGGTCTTGCTTTATGTATCTAGCTACCTTATGTCTTTTGATTGGAGCATTTAGTCCATTTACTTTTAAAGTAATTGTTTATAGGTATGTGCTCATTTCCATTTTGTCAATTGTTTTCTGATTGCTTTTAGAGTTTTTCTCTGTTCCTTTTTCTCTTGCTCTCCTCCTTGTGATTGATGGCTTTCTTTAGTATTATGCTTGGATTTATTTTTCTTTATTTTTCATGTATCTATTACAGATTTCAAGTAGTGGGTACCACAAGGCTCATATATAACATTCTAAGTATATAGCAATCTGTATTAGGCTGATGGTCACTTAAGTTTGAATACATTTTAAAACACTACTTTTTTGCTCCATCTCCTCATATTATGTCATATTTTACATCTAAAAGGTTTGCATTTATATGGGCTTTGTGAGAATGGATTCTCACAGTTAAGTAATTTATTATCTTTGATAAATGAAAAGGGGTTTGAAGCTTTCTGGGTGGCTTCTGGAAATAGAAACAATTATAATTTTCCTCACAGCTTCCTCTCGTCTTGCCCACCAACCTGTCAGGGATTATGGAATTGAAGAAAGTTACATGGAGGAATTAAAGAGGGTGATAAACCAAGTGATGCACCGTCCTCACTGTTGAAGCCTTTGATGATGGAGGAAAAATGGATTTTCTTGGTTTCAAGGGGAAGAATCAATTTTCTATTTCCAAATGGGGATGTTGTAAATTTCTTTATTTGTAGAATTACTCTTTTTGAAAAGTAAGGAGTTGATGTACTTTTGTTGGGGGGAAAAAATGGTTCTAAAGGCGTTAGAAACCAGGCAGAGGTAGAAGCTGAAATCAGCCGCTTTCATCCTTGCTTAGGAGGGTTCATCCTTTACAGCCCCTCTCCCGCCTCCTCGTATGACTGCTCTTCTCTACATTTTATTTTGTGCCTTCAATCTGAGAGTAAATAATAGAGCTACCCAACAGACAGCTGTATCTGGCCATTAGACGGTATTCAGTACACCTAGAATGAATGAGGAAATGAATATCATATTATTTGCAATTTCCAATGGGAGGGATTGTTTTATTATGATTTTCCCCCCTAATCATTTCATAACCAAAGAAGGGGTATTTTGGTGATGTTTTTGGACTATTTGTCTCTAGCTCTTGTTTGTGGATAACTTTTAATTTCTTTTTATGGTCTGAAACTGCCAGATTCAGGTATCTTCTTTAGATGTCTTATCTCATTTTGATCACCAAAGGGATTTTTGTCCTGCATTTACTGTGCCCTGTTGATTACTATGGAGCTCTTTATATACAGTCTTGGAGCATTTTGTTAATAATTGTAATTAAATGAGAAGTAACATTTTCCTCTAAAGATCATTCTTCTTCAGATTTTCTGTAGGGCTTCTATTTATTGTTATCCACTTATTTTAAGACTGACTTACAGGTTTCAGAATTACTTTGAAGTGAGGAAGGTGAACAGTACTTTTTCCTGACACACTGTGACTGATAATAAAAGTTAGTCTGTGACACTCATCAGTAGAACACTGGGGAAACGTCTATTCTTTTGCTAACCCAACACAATTTTTGTCTATGTGTAAAGGTATTGTGGAGGATTACAAGCCACCCTTTTATGATGTGGTTCCCAATGACCCAAGTTTTGAAGATATGAGGAAGGTGGTCTGTGTGGATCAACAGCGGCCAAACATACCCAACAGATGGTTCTCAGACCCGGTAAGAATGCCAGTTTCTTAGTTTCAGAGCTATCCTCTGGTGTTTTCTTTTTGTTACTCTTGAATTTCCACTGTTATATTTCCTGAGTGATCTGTCCTGGGTACCTATTGCTTTTTCTCCCTATTTCATGGAGAAAGGTCTTAGACTTAGTGGAATAGGTTAGGAAACAGTCTTCTTTAAAGAGCCATATCTAATAGATCTTGATAATGATGAATGGGAAATGGGAATATTTATAAGGATTTCTATTTCCTAGAAATTCTCTTGGCTAGTTCCAGGAATTGGTAGACTTATTGCTATGCCATTGGTCCTAGGATTGCAGTTTCATGTGTAAAACAAGGGACTGTGAGTGATGCTTTTAACTTCTTTTCCATCTCTGCATATCTGAAATTCCAGTCATAAGCAGTTCAACACTGAAAATCTTCATTGCTGCTCTTAAGTAGTAGTGAATCTAAGACATTGATTAATGACCCTATCTGCAAATTTCAGTATTAACTTGGGGTTACTATTACTGCTTTTTAGCATCCATAAAACCATCAAGGGGTCCAGCCTGGTCTATGTAATTTACCTGGTAAAAACAGTTGGTAGCATTAGGAGTCCAAAGGAAGAGGTCATGAAACTCAAGAGTAGCTTTTTTTATCAGTGGCATTTAAAAATCAAGTCAAAGCCTTAATGATTTGTTTAAAGAAGATGGCAATAACATCACTTTAACTTCACAAGATCTGCAGAATTCTGCAAAAATGGTTGACACATCTGCCCAGCTTCTGGGGCCACAAAAAAGCGATTTTCTCATGCTGGTGTTGGTTCTTTCTTTCCTCAGACATTAACCTCTCTGGCCAAGCTGATGAAAGAATGCTGGTATCAGAATCCATCCGCAAGACTCACAGCTCTGCGCATCAAAAAGACTTTGACCAAAATTGATAATTCCCTAGACAAATTGAAAACTGACTGTTGACACTTTGATGGTGTCAAGGAAGATTTGACATTGTTGTCACTGTCCAGCTGGGACCTAATGCTGGCCTGACTGGTTGTCAGAACAGAATCTGTCTCCCTCCTCAAATGGCTGCTTTGACAAGACAGACATCCGACCCAGCCATGTGTTGGGGAGACACCAAAACCACCCTAACCTCGCTCAATGACTGTGAACTGGGCATTTCACAAACTGTTCACACTGCAGAGACTAATGTCGGACAGACACTGTTGCAAAGGTAGGGAACTGGAGGAACACAGAGAAATCCTAAAAGAGATCTGGGCATTAAGACAATGGCTTTGCATATCTTTCACAGGTCTCCTAGACACTCCCCACGGGAAACTCAAGGAGGTGGTGAATTTTTAATCAGCAATATTGCCTGTGCTTCTCTTCTTTATTGCACTAGGAATTCTTTGCATTCCTTACTTGCACTGTTACTCTTAATTTTAAAGACCCAACTTGCCAAAATGTTGGCTGCGTACTCCACTGGTCTGTCTTTGGATAATAGGAATTCAATTTGGCAAAACAAAATGTAATGTCAGACTTTGCTGCATTTTACACATGTGCTGATGTTTACAATGATGCTGAAACATTAGGAATTGTTTATACACAACCTTGCAAATTATTTATTACTTGTGCACTTAGCAGTTTTTACAAAACTGCTTTGTGCATATGTTAAAGCTTATTTTTATGTGGTCTTATGATTTTATTACTGAAATGTTTTTAACACTATACTCTGAAATGGACATTTTCTTTTATTATCAGTTAAATTCACATTTTAAGTGCTTCACATTTGTATGTGTGTAGACTGTAACTTTTTTCAGTTTATGCAGTACGTATTTAGCCATTACCCATGTGACACCACCGAATATATTACTGATTTAGAAGCAAAGATTTCAGTAGAATTTTAGTCCTGAACGCTGTGGGGAAAATGCATTTTCTTCGGAATTATCCATTATGTGCATTTAAACTCTGCCAGAAAAAATAACTATTTTGTTTTAATCTACTTTTTGTATTTAGTAGTTATTTGTATAAATTAAATAAAATGTTTTCAAGTCAAAAAGTGAATTTTTTTCAGCCTGTAGAAAAGATGTAATATAAAGCATTTTTTTATGAGAACAATAGAAGCACAAAACTAATTTGTAAATTGAATTTGCTTTTGCTTGAAAAAGCAGTCTATGAAAAGATTCTATGATGTCCTCCAGCTTGAAGTTGGATCAGAAAGTTTTAATTTTGTTTCTTTTTTTTTGACTATGATTTTATTTTGTTCTTAGTTGTTGCCCAGCTTTTGAAATGAGGGTTAACAGATGCATCTGATTGGTCTTCCCCACAGAGGAGTTGTGAGTACAAGTGAGAGGAGGGATGTGAAGCCTTTTGTTTAGTATCAGCTCCTGTGTAGTGAACAGCAGTCTGATGCATCTCATCTGGCTAGTTCATGAGAGTCCTTTGTTGTCTTTTCTACTTTTGTTCAATAGGATTGAAAAAACAGGGTTTAAAGTAGCCCAAGAAGTGAGTGGCTACTTTATAAATTTAATGAAAATTCTTAAATGTTCACCAGAGGTAAATTAATACCATCATTAGGATGTATTCACTTAGAGAATATATATTAAATCATAAGAAGGTTTTCCAAAAAAAATTGTGGTACAATATGCATAAAAATGGTACAGGTGGTAAATTCTGTTCAGTCTTATGTTATTAAGTACGTTCATATTGTCGTGCGGCCATCTCCACCATCCATCCACAGATCTCTTCCTCTTATGAAACCGAAGCTCTACTTACCAAACAATAACTTCTCATTCCTCCCGCCCCTGTTAGCTGACAACCCCTATTCTACAAGTTTGATTATTCTAAGTACCGCATATGAGTGGAACCATACAGTATTTATCATTTTGTGCAACTGGCTTATTTCATTTAGCCTAATGTCCTCAAGGCTCATCTTTGTTATAACATGTAGCAGAACTTCTTTCTTTTTATGGCTGATACCCCATTGTATGTATATATAGTTTGCTTATCCACTCACCTGTTGATACTTGGGTTGCTTCAGTCTTCTGGCTGTTGTGAATAATGCCGCCACGGACATGGGTGCATAAACATTTCTTCAAGTCCTTGCTTTTAGTTCTTTTGGCTAAATACCCTAAAATGGATGGAGTCACATTTAACTTTTATTGAAGTATTATTTACATATATAAAAGCATTCCTATATAAAAGTACACAGCTTGAGGCATATTTATAAATTGTTTGCACCACGGAAACAGCACCTAGATCATGAAGCCAAACACTAACTTCTCCAGAGTGACGTCAATGTGATGGTGGCATGAGTTGTTCCTTTTTTCTCTACCCTTTGATTTATTAGTTGGACCCCCATAGCTGAACACAACTGCCTCTGCACATTATACAGACACCCAGATTTCTATCCATTTGTGTGTCTGAAAGTGGGTGGCTAGGACTTCAGAGAAGCTGCATACGCAAGGAGTCAATGAGCCTGCCCCACCCCCCTTTGCTAAGATAGTTTTGCACACTTCGGGTTCCCCTTTTCTCTGAGTGGACATGCAGGGGAGACAGAGAATTGTAGAGGCCCAGCCAGTCTCACAGGAGACCCTGGCATGCCACTGGAGTGGGTTAGAGATGAGTTTGGAGGCAGAGGAGGGGGAGGGACCCACGGAGGCAGGCAAAACCCAGGGAAACTGCATCATCCTGGGCTTTTGTTGACAGCAGTGGCTGCCTCTCTGCCAGAGGAGGGGGAAAGGGAAAGTGGTGAGTGACAGACTGCGGGGCCGTGAGGTTGCAGAGGGGCCTGCTTCTCTCCAGCAGCACTTGGGTTTCTGAGGGGGGATCTCCATGACTGGGGAAAGGGGAGGAAGTAGACAAGAATGCCAAAAGACACTGAAGGAATGAATTTCCTGTCAGGTTTGGGATTTCAGCACAGACCCACCCATGGACCTCTGGGAGTCTGGCTCTCAAGAATCCCTGTCAGGCTGTGGGCACCTCCAAAGCCTCAGATGCTAAGTTTATACCTCCCCGCCACACACACTACTGCCAGCCCTTTTTGTGCACTCCTGAGTGCAATTCTGAAACTTGCTCTGGTAGGAGAAACCAGAACTTGAGCTATAGCACCACCTTCTAGGACATAGTAAGAAGGTTTCTAATTGCCACCCTCTTGAACTTCAACAGCCAAAGTAAACAAATCCTTCACAAAAAAATGTGTCATTTCAAAATGCAATAGAAGTGCATATCCTCAAACACTATGAAAAATCAAGGGGATAAGTTATTACAAAAAAATAATAATTCTCCAGAAACCAAACTCAAAGGTTATGATTTAATTGATAAAAGAATTCAAGATAGCTATTATGAAGAAATTAAATACACTATGAGAATTCAAAGAGGGAAGTCATTGAATTCAGGAGTGAACTTACTGAACACAAGAAGTTATTTATCAAAGACAGTGAAATTTTGAAAAAAAAACTAAGCAACTTCTGGAGCTGGAGTATCCAATGAATGAGATGAGGAGTGTATTAGAGAGCATAGGTAACAGGCAAACCAGATGGAAGAAAGAACAAGTGACTGAAGGACAGGAATTTAGAAACGATTCAGTTAGAAGAGAGAACTAAGATTTTTTTGAAAGTGAAGAAATCCTATGAGAACTATATATGTAAACTATATTATTTAAAGAAATAATAGCTGAGAAATTCCCAAACCTGGGGAAGGAATTGAATATACAAGTCTACAAAGTTAATAGAATGCTTTATTATCTCAGTGCAAAAATACCTCCAAAAGACATAGAAACTCAAAGACCAATGTTAAAAGGAAAAAATCTTAAAGGCAGCCATGGGGAGAAAGTAACCTAAAAAGAAAACCTCACTGGGCTATCAGTCAGTTTCTCAGCAGAAACTATATATTCCAGGAGAGTATGGAATGACATATTCCAAGAATGGAAAGCTAAAAATTGCCAGGAAAGAATACATTATCAAGCAAAGTTATCCTTCAAATGTGGAGAAAAAAAGCTTTCTCAGACATACAAAAGCTGAGGGAGTTCACTACCAGTAAACTAGCCTTCAAGAAATTTTGAAAGTTCTTAAAGCTGACATGAAAAGATGGTAACTAGTGACGCAAAAGCTTTATGAAAGTACAAATATTTTGGTAAAGGTGAAAATTAGAATTAGAAAATGAAATGTGTTAGGTTGGTGTGTTAGCCACTTAATTATTATATAAAATTTCAAGAAAATATTAAAAATAATTAGCTACTATAATTTGTTAACTAATTCACAGCATAAACTTGTCTTTTTATTAACTATTAACTTTAAATTATTATTTATTAAATTATTAATTTATATAACAATAAATATATTAACTTTTTGTTAACTAATTCACAGTATAAAAAGGCAAGTTGTGACATAAAAAATATAAATTAGAAAATTTACAGGCAAATGAAGATAAAATAGCCTTTTTTATGCTGATAGTAACTTATCTATTAGATGTTTTATGTAAACCTCATGGTAACCACAAAGTAAAAATTGAGAATAGAATCATAAAATATAAAAATGGGGAAACTGAGCAAATCACTAGTGAAACAAATGATTCACAAAGGCAGGCAGAAACGGGAAAAATAAAATGGAGATATAAAACAACCAGAAAGCAAATGATGAGATGTCAGGAGTGAGTCTGTATAGATCAATAATCACTCTAAATGTAAATGGATTGAATTCATCAATAAGAAGGCACAGAGTGGCTGGGGAGGTTTTTTTAAAAAAAGAGACCCAACTATATGCTGCCTACAGGAGACTGATTTGAGTCCTGAAGGCACACAGAGGCTCAAAGTGAAGGGATGGAAAAGGACATTCCATGCAAGTGGAGACCAAAAGGAAGCAGGGATTCCCATACCTAGACAGAATAGACCTCCAGCTCAAAATGATAACAGGAGATAAGGTCACCATATAACAGTAAAAGGGTCAGTAGACCAAGAATATATCACAATCATCAGTATATGTGAACCCAACATAACAGCACCAAGTTACATTAGCAAATATGAACAAATACAAAGAGGAAATAGGGAGGAGGTCCAGATGGCAGTGTAGAAGGAGCCTGAGCTCACCTCCCATGCACACACTGAATCTCCATCGATGTGAATAGTGATTCCTCCTGAGGAGGAACTGGGGGCTGGATGAACATCTGTATGCCGAAGGAGAGAGCAACCACATGGAGAATGGCAGGAGAACACAGTCATGGTAACGATGAAAAGCACACTCCCAACCCCAACACTGCCACCTAGAGTAGGGAGAGAGATACCATTGAGGGACCTGCATACAGATTCACCTGTACTGGGGCAAAGAAAAAACATGGCTTAAAGAGTAAGGGAAGAAATCCTACTTACTAAACTTGCACCCATCAAAGGGCAAGGAAACCTCTAGAACTCTCCAGGATCGAAAGTGCTGGCAAACACTATTGTTTACATTATCTCCAACATGGATAGTGTGGTTGGGAGCAGGGTCTGAGCATCAGCCAGATAGCCACCCTAGCCCACAATAGCTCTAGATGGCCACCCAAGGCTCCCATGCCACAAGCCTGTATGTGCCTGCTGGGCCTTTAGCTTTCCCACCAGGGTGCACCCTGATTGGATGATTCTAGGATCTCCTGGCCTATGTCCAGTCAGCCTCCAGCCAGCCAGACAAAGCCACCAGAAATATGTGGTATACCCTGGCTCATTCCTACACAAGGCCACTCCTTCATAGAAGTAACAGTATTGCCTAATTCATAGAAACAAACACAAAAGTCAAAGTGAGGAGACAGAGGAATATCCTCCAAATAAAAGCAAGATAATGTTAGAAACAGAACTAAGTGAAATGGAGTTAAGCAATATAGCTGACAAAGAGGTCAATTCAATGGTTATAAAGATACTTGCTGGATTTGAGAGAAGATTCAGGGAGGACACCAACAAAGAGAATATATAAGAAAGAATATATATCCAATCAGAATAGGAGAATTTAAAAAATGAAATAAAAAGTACACTAGAGGAAATCAACAGCAGATTAGAGGAGCAAAAGAATGGATCAGACATGGAAAATCGAT